GGCTCAGAGTATTATGCCTAAGTCACATTCACACCCACACCCACACCCACACCCACACCACACCCACACCACACCCACACCCACACCCACACCCACACCCACACCCACACCCACACCCACACCCACACCCACCCTCAAGATGCCTCAATGCATGGGACGTATTTCACCTAACGCTCTTCAACGTCTTGTTTCCTATATTGATCTATTTGGCAAGCATGACATCTATGTGATTCTCACTCTTCATCGTCATTTAGAATCACCACAAGTGTGGCAACAGGTAGCAGCTATTCTCAGCAGAGTAAATAATATTATTGGCTATGATCTTATCAATGAACCATACATAATGCTCGATCAACAAGTCGGTATTGAAGATTTGTCAATATGCGATCGTTCGTCAGAAATTGGCGACTTACTGACATACTATGGGCAAATGCTCGATGTTATTCGACGCGAAGATCATCATACACCAGTCATTATTGAATCATCATTTTGGGCAAATTGGCGTGCCCTTCGTTTGTTGAACCTTAAACAGAGTCCATTATCAGCGTATATCCATGATATTGATCTATTTAAGGTTTCATTCCATATGTATGAACCAAGATTATTAACAACATATCGTTTGAATAAGAATCGTTTCGGCTATCCTGGTAAAGTACCTAATTATGGTGGTCCTTAGTCACTTGTTGAAGAATGGAATTCATCTCACTTGAGTAATATATTTCAATATATCGAGGATATTGTTAGGAATGTACTCAATCTGAGTCCGAAACATCAAATATTTGTCGGTGAATTAGGTATTTCAAGAAATACTCCTGGAGCATCTGTCTATCTTCAAGATACGCTCAATGAATGTCACAAGCATGGTTGGAGTACATGTCTTTATGCATTCCGTGAATATCATTGGAGTATGATGAACTATGAATTAGGTGTTGATAGAGAAAATGAGCATATCAAATCTGTTGGCAATCCACTTATGAAAGCAATTACAGAAGCCATACAAAAATCAAGTTAAGCGACAGAACAGGTCACATTCATATCTTAACTACGACTATCATTTGTAATGCGTGTCTTGTTTTGTGAATAAAATTGAAATTTTTATACGTATTTTCGAGCAACCAATACACACTCTTGAGGGTGGGTGTGTTTAGGTGTCGATAGGTGTGAATGTGGGTGTGAGTACGTGTGCTGTTTAAGAGTTGGGATATTCACCTACACCCACATTCACACCCACACCCATACTCACACATACACACCCATACTCACACACGCACCCACACCCACACCTACACCCACACCCACACCCACACCCACACCC